TGGGGACACACCCAAGATGCGTGCAAATGCCAAGAACAACCAGCCACTCGGGCTTCTGCTCGCAACCAAGAGGGGGGCGCAGTCGGGAAAGGGGGGGCGGGGTAGGACACATCGGCAGGAGACCACGTGGTGAGGGAGAGCGGATGCCAGGTCGCAGACATGCAGCGCAAGAATCACGCAACAGTAGCAATACGGGGGGGCGGCAGCTGCAGCTGCAGTACAAACGTCAGCAGCTGCAGTCGTGCAAGTTCAGATGTGCAGAGTGTGCACACGCAAGTGCGTAGTGTGCATGTGTGTGCATGTGTGTGTGCGTGTGTGCGTGTACCGGTGCGCGCTCCTGGTCCGTCTCCTTGTGCCGCAGCGACGCCACGTCGACGGCGCGAACCTCGTCAATCTCCTTCTGCGTGCGGTGGCGAACAAACACGGGCTTTCCACGCCACTTGAACGTCACGTTCTTGCCTGTCACATGAGACATGATGGGAGGGAGGAGGGACAAGGGAAGATGAGTGTTGTTTGAGTGTGGGTATGCATGAGTGAGGGTGTGTGTGTTTGTGTTGCAAGCGACGGATTGTGCGTACATGTCTCACTTCTGCTACCGAAGGTGGTCAACGCACAACGCACTGTGCAACCCACAACAACGCAGCGAACAACTGTCACAACAATGCACTGTACAACTGATAAACACACGCACCCACCCACCCACAAAACCACACAAGCAGCAACAAACACGCGCACGCATCCTCACGGACCCTCAGGGATGGCAGACAGATCGACCTCCATCTTGGCAAGGGCAAGCACATCAGCCTAAGCCGCAAAACGCAGAGCATCAGCGACAGTGGTCAGCTTGCGTGCTCGACATCTGCAAGTCTCCACGAAGACCAAAACCAGCGTACTGTGCTGTGCGCACACGAACAGCACACCAAAACCACGCACACACGCACGCATGCACACACACACGCGCACGCACGCACGCACACACATAAAACAACGACGCAAACTACACACACACAACACAACACAAGCGTATACAGCCGAGTGAAGACGATGCGTCGCTCACTGACCGAGGCGCTCATTGTGTCGAGGAAGTCCTGAACCATGCTCTTGGCGAGGTGGATGGAGGCAACGGCACCACCGGCACCGAGGAGGTATGTGAAAGCGCGGCGGGAGTAGTCGGCCTCGCGAAGGTCCTTGCCAGAGTCATCGCGCTTGTAGTTGTCGAAGGAGGGGGTCTCGATGTGAGCGAAGCGAACCTGGGTGGAGCAGCCAAAGACGGAGGAGGTGAAGCGGGTGGCACCGGAAGTGATGCGGGACGGGAAGGCGGCGCTGGCGGTTGGGGCGGCGGCGGCGGCGGCGGCAGACGCGCTTCCGGTGCGGGGCTGGGCGCGCTTTGCAACAACGGCGTTGAGGGTGCTGGTGCGGGCCGCGGCCAGGGCGGCGGCGGTCTGTGGAGACACGAATGTGCGAAGAGAAGCCATTGCTACGACCTGTGTGCCTGCAGGTGAAGTGGAGCATGGCAAGCATGGAAAGGTCAGGTATGAGCTGTGTGTGTGTGTCTCTCTGTGTGGGGGGGTGTGTGTGTGTGTGTGTGTGTGCAGTAACACCTCTGTTGCTGGTTTTCCAACCAGTGAGTGGGTAACAGTGTGTGGGAGGAGGTGCCAGAGCGCAAGACCTACAGGTGCCACAGCAAAGCGTACAACGCACAAACAGCAAGACCACCAAACAGCACAGCCAGCCACCACGACCACAAGCCAGCCACCACCGCCACCACCGCAGCACAACAGCCAGCAATCCCACACACATACACACACATACACACACATACACACACATACACACACATACACACATACACACACATACACACATACACACACTGGCGCCTCTCCCTCGTGTATCCACCAATGGAATAACGTCAGAAAACATACACGAAATATCCAACCAGCCGAAATCTGAATCTCTCTTATGGTGTCGGGATGCGTGGCTGCGACTGGCTGGGCTGCGTGTGTGTTGTGTGTTGTGTGTGTGTGTGTGTACAGCGTGCGTGTGTGTGTGTGTGTGTGTGTGTGTGTGTGTGTGTGTGTGTGTGTGTGTGTGTGTGTGTGTGTGTGTGTGTGTGTGTGTGTGTGTGACATAGGAACAGCGTGATGGTGTGTATGACACTGTGTGACTGAGTGTGTTTACATGTTTGCATGTTTGCACAACCAACTGCTTTGGTGTCATGTCAATGTCAATACACACCATCTCTGATGCGCTGCTCTTCCTCCGGCGAGAGATCCACCATCTCCAGCCGCTCTGTGTCTTTGCTCCACCGCGTCAAGATGGCCTGCAGCACGATGTTGTGCAACGGGTGTGAGCAAAACAGCCGTCCGCGCCAACGCGCGTGTGCGCAACAGCCCAGTGCATGTGATTGCACAGCACCGCAAAGGGCGGTCCGCTGCTGGGGCTGCTTGTACCTGGTGGTCGCGAGTGACCAAGAAGAAGCCGGAACGAGGTGCTGCCGACAGCGTTGCTGACGACATGGTGTCCACGGCGCTGCGAGAGCAGTTGGGGTAGGTGTGAGAATAGGGGACAGGGGGAAGAGAGGAAAGAAAGGGAGCAGAGACGGGAAAAGAGATGGGAAGAGAGAGGGGACAGGAGAGGGGACGGAGGAAACAGCGAGATGTGGAGAGCGACAAGCAGAGCATTCATACTCATACGAACGTGCACATCGCACACATACACACACTCACATGCACATGCACACATGCACACGCATGCACACGCATGCACACGCATACATGCGCACAAACGCATGCACACAAACGCATGCACACCCATGTCACCTGTGAAAGAGAAAGTGCACGCCTGGTGGCACCATCTTGATGCCCATGAAGCGAGGCCCTGTCGTCCACGCCTTGCAGTCGATGCCGAGCTGCGTGCCCGCGGGCACATCCTGCGCGATCACCACAGCCTGCTGGAAGAACCTGCGCTCCACATCCCCATCACCGCTCATCGTCGTCATTGTGTGTTTGTCAGAAAAAGTGAGTGTTTGTGTGCGAACGACCCTCACATCGCTTTGCTCATTGATGGTGATGATGATGATGATCACTTCGCTTCACACACATCACAGGACTTGCATCACGTGCATGGATGGCACATTGAAGCAATGTATTGCTGGGATTGATTGGGAGAGGGCTTGAAGCCTTTCTGACGCATGGCAGAGACAAGCGAAGGGACAGATAACAGGGAAGAGAGAGCTAACACAAGAACAGGGAAGGAGCTGGGAGCAAGTAGGACAAACCACAGAGCGCAACAGCGCGTGACAAGAGGATTACATTACACAGCCACACATGCACACACACACACACACATGCACACACATACACACACATGCACACACACACACACACACTAGCCGAGGATGGGCTTGAGGCAGGTGTTCTTGATGGCGGCAACAACGCTGTCGAAGCACGAGGCCTCTGCCACCGCCGGCACCGTCACCTCTGGCTGCGCGTGCTGTACAGATGCATCGAGCGAGGAGGAAGCAACACTGTAGGCGCTGTCATTCGCGTCGCTGTGCTGCATCTCATCCTCGTCTTGCTCGCCTTGTACCGTGTCGGCGCGCTCGGCGTCTTGATCGACGTCCTTCTCCTCTTCTTCGTCGTCATCATCGCCATCGCCCATGCCGTACTTGGCTGGCGATGCCACTTGCAAGGTCGCTGGCTGGTCAGCAAGCACCTCACAGCCAACCTCTGCCATAGGGTGCAAATGGACGGGTGCGAGTGGGAGCACAGGCAAGGGGATACCAAACAACAAACAACAAACAAGGTGAGGTTTTGGGAAGGTAGCCAGAACGAAACGACAAAAAACAAGCGATGAGTGGGGCAAGGGCGTAAATAAAGCAAGGCACACAAGAGCGTGCACTGAGACGAACCAAAGGAGATGATGTGTGTAGCGGCGTCAAAGAACACGCAGACGTCCGATGTTTCAGCGACTTGGATGACGACATTTGGGCAGCCGGGCTGATCGAGCGCATCGCGGCCCCAGCTCTGCTCCCATGAGCCGTTCCTGCACACCTGTTGGGTATGATGGTGTCGAGTGTGGAGGGAGGAAGGTGAGGAAGTGTGACTGGAGGAGGAGGGGAGGGGGACACGCATGCATGCGTATGCGTACGCGCACACGTCCACACACGCACGTACGTGCACACGCACACACACACACTACACACACACTACACACACACTACACACACACTCCACTGACCTTGATTTCGTAGGTGCCTGCGGGCACGGCCTGGAACCTGGCAACCAACGCATGCTCGTCCTTGACGACGTGAAGGCGTCCGCGCGGGTCCTGTGGATCCCACGCCATGCCACCAGCGGCAGCGATCAGGGTGCCTGCAACAGAGTACCACTCTGTTGTACAAACGAGGTGGGGCGAGGGTATTTGGGCTGTGGTGTGAGTTGTCTGTCACAAACGCAAACAAACACATGATACGTGCTCGCACAAGGAGTACATTCTGGGTGTTGGAACACTCCAATAGCACGAATCACGAACCTGGCATCGTTGTGGTTCGAGAAGGACGGAAGGGAAAGTAAAGGGAAGGGAAGGTGCTGCAGTTGGTGCAGTCGTGCTTGCTCGCTCGCTTGAAGCTTGGTTGCTTGTTGTCACAGGCTGGTTACTGTTGGTCGGTTGTGAAGCGGGGTGAAAATGAACTGGACAGCATCGCACGCCATTGTCGCTGCTGCTGATGCTGCTGCTGTGGGTTGTTGCTCCAGTTGCTTCTGCTTGTGCGCTGACGATTCCCTGCTGCATCGCTGCATCGCTGGCTGGCTGGTCGCCAACACAAACAAACAAACCCCACGCAAGAAGCAAGCACAGAGAAGCGAGGGGAAGGGTGGCAGTGGTGCGCTGAGTGTGGGTTGCGTTTGTTGTTGTGGCGACAACAACTCGGATGAAGTGAAAGGCGAAGAAGAAGCCAACACGTATCGGACACAGCAAAACGCTTGGGGCTTCGTCAG